TAAAGTTTCTCCCACAGTTCACATATGAATGCTTTCCTAAATGAGGGCAAACTCTACACTACAGTTCAAACGTTTGGGGTCGGTAAACTTTTTAAATGTTTTTATGAAAAATACTATTATTACTATTTAAATATTATTAATACTATTATTACTATTTCAAATAACTGTTTTCTGTGTGAATATATTGTAAACTGTAATGTATTTCTGTGATGCGCAGCTGTATTTTCAGCATCATTCCTCCAGTCTTCAGTGTCACATGATCTTCAGAAATCATTCTAATATGCTGATCTGCTGCTCCAGAAACATTTCTGATTATTATCAATGATGAAAACTTAATATTTAAATATTTTTTTAATAATACAATATTTTTGTGGAAACTTTTTTTTTTGACTTCCCTATATAAAAAATTTTTCAACCTGATTAGACGTATTTCTCTAAATTGAGTTCAATATGTTTTCTTTAGTAGTAGCGTTTTTATTAATGTTTTTTAAATAACATTTTCTGTTTGTATTTTAATTTTAGTTTTTGTTGTTGTTGTTGTGTATTTGTCTTTTTTTTTTCGTTTTTGTTGTTTTAAATATGTCTATTTTATTCGTTTTTATTTCAGTTTTAGTTATTTTAGAACATCAAGTTAAACTAAATTGAGAAAATGAGAAATGTTTTCTTGGCAAATGGCTGAACTTAAATGTTTTTATTTTATTATTTGTTTATTTTATTTTACTATTTCTGTTTATGTTTATTTTGTTAATGTTATGGGGGTTTTATTTTGATTTTAGGTTTTAATTATGTATAATATCTATGGTTCAGTAGTTGAAAGTTGTTGTTTTTTTTTCAGATTTTTTGATGAATAGAAAGTTCAAAAGAACAGCATTTATATTAATAACATTATTAACCTTATAAATTCTTTACTCCCACAATTTAATGCATTCTTGCTGAATAAAAAATATACAGAAAATGTTGATATCAGACACAACGTGTGTGTGTGTGTGTGTACTGGTTTATATATTCTGGTGGGGACTTAAACCTGAATACACACAGACTCATGGGGACTCGTGTCACGGTGGGGACCTAAATTGTGGTCCCCACGGGTACAAAAGCTTATAAATCATACAGAATGAAGTTTTCTGAAAATCTGAAATAGCACAAAGTCTCCTGTGAGGGGTAGGTTTAGGGGTAGGGTTGGTGTAGGGCAATAGAATATACGGTCTGTACGGTATAAAAACCATTACGCCTATGGAGAGTCCCCACAAGGATGACCAGACATGAGTGTGTGTGTGTGTTGTTTGTGTTGCTGACACCGGCAGAAGCATGTAAAGTTGCTCTGCTCTGTCTGTTTTACATTAGCTTTCATGGTTACTTGAATGTTCTACATTTAAGAGGATTTTTTTATGTGAAATTGACCCCAGGAAACCGTTTTCATCTGGCAGAATGCATTTTTCTCTCCTTAATTTGAAATGCTTGATCTTCCTGTGCGTGTTACAGGCGGCATCAGAGAGACCGTGTATTTATGGAGCAAACGTGCATGTTTCCCATATTTTAAATCACACCTTTGAAATCCCGTCATAAGGGCCGCTGACTTCACCCATAACTCTCTACAACTCTGATTTATGGTTTTCACAGAACTGAGGAGCAGCCACTGACCAATCGTTCTTTCAGAAGATGGGACACAAAACCCCCGGCTTTTATACATGTAACTCAATATACAGTATATACGAATCATTGCCATTTGAACCCAAAAAATGTTCATTTGAAAAGGTTACTGCTGAACATTAAAGCATATTTCCCCACCTCAGGCCAGACTACCACCACACATCCACTCCAGGATTCAGATTAGTCATGTATTTCAATGGTTGAACCCTAAAGTCCCACACGATTTCAGTGCTTTCAGAGTAACTTTAGAATTCATACTGTACTTCGTATTGTACATCTGAATAGATAACAGCCAATTTGGGTTGTTTCACTCACTTCTGATTTGATTTGTTATTGGAAAGAATGACTAAATGAATAAATATGAATTCATATTATTCATTAATTATTATTTGTACTATTATTTGAAATATAGAGCTTGATGAGAAGTTTAAAAACAATGAAATACTGATAAAAGATGTAAAGAAATCGAACTTCTATTTGAACCACGTGGTCAAAAAGACAAAAAGATGTCAACCCGTCAGTATGTTAGAAAGATCAGGAGAATGTCTGCGGGGTTAAACAGGGAGCTCCAGCTGTTCATCTCATGGCATTAACTGAGATTAAGCAAAGAGATCAAAACAGTCAATGAGTTAGTCACTCAAACCGTTGGGATTTCATGCCCTGCGAGCGCTGATGTGACTCCCTGAACAGGCTGAATTGGCCTTTCTTGTCTGAGAGAGGCTGAGTGAGAGAAAGAGGAATGCTGTTTGTTCCTGCGAGCGTCCGAGACGCTGTTCTGTCTGGGCGGGTCATTTCCTGTCGGCTCGGGCGCAGGTGCGAGGTGGGTGTTGTGTTTCCTGCCCACTGCTGAGAGCGTCTCAGTCCCTCAGAGTGGCCTGCAGGATGACATTTCAAAAGACCTCAACAAACACCTCAGCACTTTTGCACACACTGGCTTCTGGTTTTGCTCTTTTCTGGGCACCAGACAGCGGTTTTCCGTGGGATCGGACAGCAGTGTGGTCACGTCACAGAGAAAGCATCAGGAGATGAGTGTGGGAGAAGATTGTTGTGCTGCTCTTGGGTAATGTACAGCTGGAGCTCACAGCGCTGGTGAACAGCGCCATCTGAACATTCTACTCTATAGATCCAAACAGGTTTAACTATTAAAAAATCTTTTCATTATTTTAAACAAATCGCAAATAAAATCATATGCAAATATTAAATGAAAAAGGCTGCCGTGCCTTGGCTGAACTGAATAAATTGAATTTAAAAATGTAAAAAAAATTAATAATAATAATAATAAAATGACAAAAAGCACACTACAAAATTACTAAACTAAGATTAAGATAAAAACTAAAAATATGAAAATAAAAGCTACTTCAGAATGTTAATAGATACCATAATAGTATATAAATAATTCTAAAAGAACACTTAAGTATTACTACTAAAATGTAAGCTAAAAATCAAATAAAATAATAAAATGACAAAATCATACCAGAATTGCTAGAACTAAAATCATATGTTATATTAGTAACATTATATGATTCTGGGCCCTCGCTCAATGTAAGTCTTTTTATTGTCTATAGACAAATATAAAAATATCAGATATCAAAATCTGTTCATATATTTACATTGAAACTAGGTGTGGGCAATAAAAATAATAATAGTAATCATAGATTTATAGACAGGGTTATTGTAGTTAAACATAAAACATTTACTTAAAATAAAACAAACATTAACTGAAATAAAAAACAAAGTTTAAAAAACTAACTTTTTTTAGCTTGCCAAAGAAACATTTCTCATTTTAATTTAGTTTAACTTGTACTAAAATAACTCAAACTGAAATAAAAATGAAATGCAGTATATTAAAAATAACTACAAGAATACACAACAGAAGTACTTAAACTTGAACTAATTCTAATATAACAATTAAGAAACAATTCAGAATATTAATCACAATTATACTTAAATATTGCAGGGCCAAAGTCATATGTCCTGTATACTTGGAGGTAGGTTGTAAAATGTAATAATTAATTACATAATAACAAAAAATGAAAAATAACAATATTTAAATAATTTTAAAATACTAAAGTTATTGAAAAGATATTGAAATATTAACTTAAAAACTCTCAAAGTAAATATTTCAGGGAAAAGAGGTTTGACTGACAAAAAAAGTTAGTGAATCCCTGCAGCACGTAAAGTGCTGTCTGTAGAGGCAGGTCACTAGGTTTAGGAACAGAGCGGTGTGTCAAGCTGAGAACAACTGCTGTGGATCAGCTAGTGGTTCAGTTTACAAGTCAAGTTTTAGGTGACGGTAAAAAAGGAAAACAAATGGAAGCCATTCACTTAAAGGCCATTAATATAAACTTAGACAAAGTGCTTAATTGGATGAAAAGAATTAAGACTTATTTATCCTGAGATATTTAAGGCACTGCTCACTGTAAAAAAAAGTTTCCGTACAATTTACGGTAAAAAAACGGCAGCTGTAATGAACTTTTCCACGACATTCTAATTTATTGAGATGCACCTGTACTCCTGAAATGAGATGTTTAGAAATTGTTCTAAGCTAACTCAAGTCCTAAAGCTATAGGCATTACCCTTGTGAAAATGTACACTTTAGCGTACTGTTAAAAAAAGAGCACTTACTATGGAAATAATATACTTAAGTGTGAACTGACTGTAATGTTTTCAGACACTTAATCTTATCTGGAATTCAATTTACATTAAATGCAATTAACTGAACTTTAGAGTGTGTTTGACCCATTTACTTGATATAAAACGAACTTAAAACAACAAAAAAGGAAACTTTTTCAGCTTGCCAAGGCAACTGTACTTATTTAAATTAGCTTAACTTGGTGTACTAAAATAACTAAAACTAAAACTGAAATAAAAACGCTACCGCCAGACCCGGAGATCGGCTGAATGGATTCGAAAACGGTAAAACTCAACTGTTTAACTCTAGGGGAGCTGGAAAATGAGCCTATTTTCAAAAATAATGTAGAGTTCCTTTAACATTTGACTATTTTAACTAAAACATCTTCCTTCTTGATTAATCTGTCTGTAAACTTTTGCACTGTGTCTGAAAGGACTTTCTTTTTTGCATGAGGTCACAAATCCAGTAAGCATGACATAACGCTCATGTTTCACAATCCAATCAATTTCCAATGGATTAAATTCAATCCCTTTTTACTGCTTTCTCCCTAAATATTACATTTTAATCTGAAATATCTTGGATTATGCGAGTACAATGGGATGCGACTTATATATGAGGACTGTTCGTTTGTAGGAAACTCAGTGAAGTGTTGTGCTACATGAAGCTGGGATACTGTTGATCATCACATAAATAACCGGACAGACTTGGCAACAGCATATGTTGTTCAGATGTATATTTATATTTTTTACATGGTTTTAAATATTTAAAATAATTCACTGCTGAAATTCCCTGCATATATATTTCTCCATTAAAAGGCATTTGATGACTCATGCTGGTGGAGCAGTCGACGTCTTTATGAGGAAATCTAGTCCTGTTTTCCAACGATCCTGAAACGGTTCACTCGCTGATGAGGAGAACCAGCGGTTCAGGATCTTCAGGTCATGCCCAAATTCTTCATCCGATCTGATTCATAAGAAGTCAGAGCTCAAATTCACACTCCGGAGACTTACTTCAGTTAAAACATGATGCGAATTCCCATTTCCATTATTATTTCCAATTGATTAAACAATTTCATAGATCCAGCTTTGCTTCAAGTCATTTTTTAGTATATAAAATGTTACGCTCAGGTGATGGTGAGAAGGGATAGGCTACACTAAATGAATCCTGGGAAGAGAGACTGCAGGAGCAGAATCACTCCAACCACCATCAGACCGCAGAAGAACAGCACCAGCCACAGCGGGAATGATCCTGAAATATAATATACAGCATTACTGACATTCACAATTGACAATGCACACAAACAATAAGTTGTTTTAACTTAAAATGAAAAGAAAAATGGTTAAAAATGACACGAAAGGCATGTAATTAGCACCAGAACAGTACACAATTTAATGTCATATAAAACATCAAGGGCTTGATTGACCAATCAGAATCAAGTATTCCCGGAAGCGGTGTAAAAATGTTTATGATATCTTAATATCTTTATGCCTCATAGTCACAATTAGCAGATTAGAGCTGGACGGTTTATATTTTGCAACAATACAAGCAATAGAGCAGTTGAGATTTGCTATATATTGCTTTATGTGAGTTTACTGTATTTAGGAGGATAAAGTTGGACATACTTATACATCCAATTTTATATAAAGAGCTGAGCGACAAAACAACAAAAAATCAGGCAGTTGAGATTTGCTATATAGTATCAGGTTTTTAAAGTTTGCTTTAAATAAAAACTCTACAATGGGTTCAGGGTTGAACTTAAACCAGCACAATTTAATAAAATTGTATGACATGACTAGCATATCAGTGGATCTTCATTTGATATCAATAACTTGTGTGTGATTTTGAAATGTTCTATTTGGCATCACGTATATACAGTATATGAAAACACAGATGCGGATTTGATCCACTTTAGGGTTAATTTCATACAGTTTGTTGTCTACATGTATGCGAATAAAGTATACATAAATCTGATCAGGTCATACTTACTCCGGTTGGAGACGGCATGCACCTGACAGCGGCTGTCGACGGCTACGCTCAACATGACCACTTCATTATTCCCCTTCACGGCTTTACTTTTAGGAGCGTCAGGTAGGAACGTCAGGTCTGTGACCACAATGCCGTGAGACTCCTGGATGTAGTACAACTTCTGGAGGGTCGATCAGAAGAGCCGGTCAGTAGGTTTCAAGACCTAGTGAACTGCCTTTTCTTACTGACTACATAGGATGCTGACTTAAAAGGTAGCAGCCTAAGAGCTCTCACAGGTGGACTGATCTGAAGTTACTTAAATTGCCAACAACTTGGTGCAAGATTCGAACAGTGCTACTCAAGACATGTACAAATACTTGGGTTATAATTACACATAAATTTATTAATAGATTAAGAAATGTCTTTTTATTTATCTACACTACTGTTCAAAAGTTTGGGGGTCATAACGATTTTTTTGTTTGAATGAAAGAAATGAATACTTTTATTCAGCAAGGATGCAATTGAAATGATCAAAAGTGTCAGTAAAGACATTTATAATGTTCTATTTCAAATAAATGCCGTTTTCTATTTATCAAAGAATCCTGAAAAATAAAATGTTTCATGGTTTCCACAAAAATACGGCACAACTGTTTTCAACATTGATAATAATCAGAAATGTTTCTTGAGCAGCAAATCAGCATATTAGAATGATTTCATATAAGATCATGTGACACTGAAGACTGCAGTAATGATGCTGAAAATACAGCTGCGCATCACAGGATCACATATTCACATAGAAAACAGTTATTTTAAATTGTAATAATATTTCACAATATTACTGTTTATTCTGTATTTTTGAACAATCAGTGCTGCCTTAGAATTTGTCACAAAAGAAAGTATCTTAAAAGACAGAATTTTTCAGCCTTAAAATGCTAAGCCTACAAAAGCAGCTTTTGACTGTATGTAACTGAGAAGTGATTATGTTTGTACCTGCAGGGAAAACGCTATATAGATGGCCACAGATCCCGTCACAGTGCCAAGACCAAGAAATGTTCCCGAGTCACTGAGGAAAGACACACGACCATCAAACACATGATAATTCACCATAACAATGAATAACGCATGAGAGATACAGACAGATTCCCTCTACCTCACTGAAAGACAAGATATAACTTCATTCCCACAAGTCTTCGTGAGCAGCGGCAGGAAAGCATGTCCGTCCCATTTGGTGATGTAGCATGGAGGGGGTTTGCGGTCCCGTTTGTGGGGGATCTGGACTGTATAGAGTCTTAAAGCATCTTTCTGGTCCTCTACCTTTGCAAACCTGGTTTTGAACAAGAACATAATGACAAAACATTAGCTTCTTGTCTGTTACTAACTGGCTCCTTCCACGAATAGAGTAGACTTTGGTGTCCCGTTACCTTTTCTTACAGCTATCACATTAGATTATATATATAACTATTAGCTTTGTTAAAAAATAATCCTCTGCAGTGAATGGGTGCCGTCAGAATGGGAGTCCAAACAGCTGATAAAACATCACAATAATCCACAAGTAACCCACACCACTCCAGTCCATCAGTTCATGTCTTGTGAAGACAAATGCTGCATGTTTGTAAGAAACAAATCCATCAAGGCATTTTTAACTACGAACCGCTGCTTCATGCCAAAATATAAGTCAACTCCATAATCCATAATAACATTTCCTCCAGTGAAAAAGTCCATCCTCTGTTGTCTCTCACATCAAAAGCCACCCACATATTTGTTTAGAAATGTTTCGCTCTTAAACGGTGTTTGATCCGTGCAGATTTCTCTCCTGATTCAGACCAGACTTTTTTTCCACTAATGGAACCATTATTATGGATTATGGACTCGTATTTTAGCCAGAAGTGACACTCTGAAGTTAAAATGCAGTAATGACCAATTTGTATCTTACAGACACGTAGATTTTATCTCACAAGACGTTAACTGATGAACTGAGTCAAAAGATTTATATTTCAAATAAATGTTGTTCTTTTGAACTTTCTATTCAACAAAGAATCCTGAAAAATAAAACGTATCACAGTTTCCACAAAGATATTCAGCAGCACAACTGTTTTCAACATTGATAATAATCAGAAATGTTTGTATTTTAAAAATTCATATCATAACAAAAATAAACACCGGTATGAACCGGTATACCGCCCAGCACTAGTCCTAAGGTTGGCAAACAACACATCCTTTCCGCTGACAAAGAAAATGACTTAAGCCAACTGTATCAGCTGTGATGTTTATGTCCCGTTGTCTGAAGGCCTTTTAAGCTTGGAAAGTGTCAGCTGTCAGGAAGTGCACAACTTGCCTGCATGACTTGTAGCGGTACATCTTCTCTGTGATCTGAGGCATGTTTTCATGCCAACACAAACCCATGGCCAGCTGATCGCCGCTCCACACGCTGCACTCGAAATCACGGCCTACTGTTACAATGTGCTACATCAAGAAAGAGAACACAGCACTACTTGGATGAACCAGCGTAAAATACACAATATCCACAAAAGAAGAAGCAGTTCTTAATTACTGAACTGGTTTTTCTCAAAAAACTTCTCAGAACACACCTTGTTATCAGGACTGATGTCTATATCCTCCAGCTCATCCTTGTGAGCTCTGAAGCTGAACTTCTCTTTCAAAGAGGGGAACTGGAGAGAGACGAAGCCAGTTGAGACAACGGCAGTGATGGGAAAAAGTCACAGACACATGGGAGACGCTCACCTCCCACACTCGGACGAAACCGTCGGCCCCGCCGCTCAGCAGAAGCGTGAGGTCGGCGCTGAAGCGCACACACTTCACACAGGGGTCCTGCGGGCTGAGGTCGGCCTGCACCACTCCAACATCCCCCACCACCATCTGAGGAGAATCCTCCTTCATCTGGGCCATGTCTCCTCCTCCATCTCCGTTCTGGCCTTTCCCGCCTCTCTTCCTGGCTGCACCTTTGTCTCCAGCCCCTGTTAACAGGTGTCACCGTAAAAGATGCATGAATGTGGTTATGCATGACCATTCACTCGTCAGTGCTTTGGTTTGGTCTCTACTCACCATGTTTGGCTACAGGTTTCTTTGCCAGTTTGGCCGTGTGGTGACTGAACCTCATCAAGCTGCAGTTGGCGTCCTGTCCCGCGGCGATCACATCCCCACCCAGAGACATGCACATGGTGGCTCGCGTGTCTGTTTCGTGAGTGTGCAGCAAGGTGGCGCTGTGCACACCACCGACCAGATCCAGACTCAGGAAATGCTGCAACGAAACTGTAACACTAAACACTCCGTCACTTCCACTTTTGCCACGTTCAACAGCTAAATGGTACATAATGTAGGGCCCTGTGAAATCCATTTTAATTTTTTCCCAAATTTTGGTGTTTACATTTTTCTGGATTCCATTTGTAATCGTTCAATTCAAATGTAGTAATCAAAAAGCCAATTTGAAATCTAGCCAAAGAAACTTTTACAAACAATTACAATTTATACAATTTAACAACAGTTAAAAATAATAAAATACATTTAGGGCCCACTGAAATCAGTTATATTTGTTCCCAAATGCAGCTTAATTCTCCCAAATTCTGTGTTTTAATTTTTCTGGATTCCATTTCAATGGTTTAACTAAAAGTTATTAATCAAAACGGATGTCAAACCACCTGAACTCTTAAAACTCATTTATTAAAACTTTCACAATAACAGTGCCCTATCGGATGCATTTTATTTTATTTTTTTATTTTTTTGTCTGTTTTAAATGTTTCTGGATTCTGTGTTTTATGTTTTAAGACAAATTCATGATCGAAACCTGTGGTAATCAAATTAATGCACAAAACTTCATTTAATTAATCTTTTAAAATGTAATCAAATGAATTCTGAACAATTCCTTTCATATTTTTTGGCAAACAAAGTGCTGCACAACAGAGGTTTACAGTTTAAAATTAAATTAAATGGGGAAAAATAAATTGTGATATTCCTTAAACAATGTTAATGTTGAAATAAACCGTGTTATTATTTTTGTCAGACATTCTACTGTACAATAGTAATATTGTTATACATGATAATACATGCAGACTTGCAATCACTTTTGATTTATTCATTACAAAATTTGCCAAATTGCATCACATTTTGTGTTATACTATAAATCCCATTTTTATGACAGGATTCAGCGATTCAGAAATCAGGCCCTAAAAGTGCTGCTTCTAAATAAAACCTGTGTTTATTGTCCTTAATAAATATTGTTTTTCTATAAAATAACAGATAATCATTAATGACTGAATTCCTCTATTTGAAGCCAAACAAGGCTATTCATAATTCGGTGGATTCAAGAATATAAAGCACCTGATTCAATGCTGTAATTAAATATGTAACGGTTTAATTAATTGAGATTATGTAATCGAGCAGCTGTGCACATGTGGACGGCCATGCAGGTCATTTCTGAATGGCAGCTGATATTTGTTAGAGACAGTACCATTCCGTTCTTGATCCCGGTCTTGGACGCGCCGCCTCCTCCAGCGGTGATGATCAGGCCGGTCTGGGGGTCGATTTTCACAGTATAGAGAGGGAAGGGGGCTCTGTACAGCTCAGGGGCTCTTCGTTTGCCCATGCTGCTCTGTGATCTCTGGACTGAAAGTAAAATACTGATTGTTACACACAATTCAACAAAACCAATACACAAGCAAATAGAGCTGTAGCACAGTCAATGAGATGACGTTCAGCTTAGGACTCATTCCTACTTTGTACTCGTAGTATTTCTGTAGTGGTGTGTGTACAATGTGCACAGTGTGCAAATGTTCTGTATGAATGAATTTGGGTCAAAGAAGGGGTTTTTAGGCATCAAAACAAAACAAGTTAAAATACAGGTTTTTTCGTACATTAGAATGTGTCCTGTTTAATTTGATTTTTCTTTTTCTTTTTTTTTTTAAGCAAAAAATAATGTCTCTTTTATATATTTTAATTAGTACAGGTCAGAATACGTATGTTGTTTCGTCACTTGCTCACCGATGGATGCTCTGCAGTGAATGGGTGCCGTCAGAATGAGAGTCCAAACAGCTGATAAAAACATCACAATAATCCACAAGCTGCATGTTTGCAATAAACAATCCCATTTTTAACTTTAAAAAAAACATTGCTTCCAGCTAAAATACCAGTCCTCTATCCATAATATTGTATTCTCCAGTAAAAACAAAATGGTCTTGTCTGAATCAAGCAAGACATATGCACAGATTAAGCACCAAAACAGTTTAAACATCTTAATGATTGAGTTAAACACACAGCTTTTGGTTTCACAAGACACTAACTGATGGACTGGAGTGGTGTGGATTATTGTGATGTTTTATCAGCTGTTTGGAAGTCCAAACAGCTGATAAAAACATCACAATAATCCACAAGCTGCATGTTTGCAATAAACAATCCCATTTTTAACTTTAAAAAAAACATTGCTTCCAGCTAAAATACCAGTCCTCTATCCATAATATTGTATTCTCCAGTAAAAACAAAATGGTCTTGTCTGAATCAAGCAAGACATATGCACAGATTAAGCACCAAAACAGTTTAAACATCTTAATGATTGAGTTAAACACACAGCTTTTGGTTTCACAAGACACTAACTGATGGACTGGAGTGGTGTGGATTTTGTGATGTTTTTATCAGCTGTTTGGACTCTCATTCTGACGGCACCCATTCACTGCAGAGCATCCACTGGTGAGCAAGTGATGCTAAATTCTCCATATCATGAAGAAACAAACATCTCATCTACGTCTTGGATGGCCTGAGGGTGAGTAAATATTCTGCAAATTTTCGTTTTGGGGTGAACTATCGCTTTAATACAGTTTGTCCAAGTTAAGTCAGAGATTTTCTTTCTGATGGCATATATAAACAGACTCCCTTCGGTTACAACACATATTAATCACAGAGACTTATAAACACATCTTAGAGTTCATACATCACACAGCTGATACAGTCGGTTGTGTGTGTGTGTGTGTGTGTGTGTGAGAGAGAGAGAGAGAGAGAGAGAGAGAGAGAGAGAGAGAGAGAGAGAGAGAGAGAGAGAGAGAGAGAGAGAGAGAGAGAGAGAGAGAGAGAGAGAGAGAGAGAGAGAGAGAGAGAGAGAGAGAGAGAGAGAGAGAGAGAGAGAGAGAGAGAGAGAGAGAGAGAGAGAGAGAGAGAGAGAGAGAGAGAGAGAGAGAGAGAGAGAGAGAGAGAGAGAGAGAGAGAGAGAGAGAGAGAGAGAGAGAGAGAGAGAGAGAGAGAGAGAGAGAGAGAGAGAGAGAGAGAGAGAGAGAGAGAGAGAGAGAGAGAGAGAGAGAGAGAGAGAGAGAGAGAGAGAGAGAGAGAGAGAGAGAGAGAGAGAGAGAGAGAGAGAGAGAGAGAGAGAGAGAGAGAGAGAGAGAGAGAGAGAGAGAGAGAGAGAGAGAGAGAGAGAGAGAGAGAGAGAGAGAGAGAGAGAGAGAGAGAGAGAGAGAGAGAGAGAGAGAGAGAGAGAGAGAGAGAGAGAGAGAGAGAGAGAGAGAGAGAGAGAGAGAGAGAGAGAGAGAGAGAGAGAGAGAGAGAGAGAGAGAGAGAGAGAGAGAGAGAGAGAGAGAGAGAGAGAGAGAGAGAGAGAGAGAGAGAGAGAGAGAGAGAGAGAGAGAGAGAGAGAGAGAGAGAGAGAGAGAGAGAGAGAGAGAGAGAGAGAGAGAGAGAGAGAGAGAGAGAGAGAGAGAGAGAGAGAGAGAGAGAGAGAGAGAGAGAGAGAGAGAGAGAGAGAGAGAGAGAGAGAGAGAGAGAGAGAGAGAGAGAGAGAGAGAGAGAGAGAGAGAGAGAGAGAGAGAGAGAGAGAGAGAGAGAGAGAGAGAGAGAGAGAGAGAGAGAGAGAGAGAGAGAGAGAGAGAGAGAGAGAGAGAGAGAGAGAGAGAGAGAGAGAGAGAGAGAGAGAGAGAGAGAGAGAGAGAGAGAGAGAGAGAGAGAGAGAGAGAGAGAGAGAGAGAGAGAGAGAGAGAGAGAGAGAGAGAGAGAGAGAGAGAGAGAGAGAGAGAGAGAGAGAGAGAGAGAGAGAGAGAGAGAGAGAGAGAGAGAGAGAGAGAGAGAGAGAGAGAGAGAGAGAGAGAGAGAGAGAGAGAGAGAGAGAGAGAGAGAGAGAGAGAGAGAGAGAGAGAGAGAGAGAGAGAGAGAGAGAGAGAGAGAGAGAGAGAGAGAGAGAGAGAGAGAGAGAGAGAGAGAGAGAGAGAGAGAGAGAGAGAGAGAGAGAGAGAGAGAGAGAGAGAGAGAGAGAGAGAGAGAGAGAGAGAGAGAGAGAGAGAGAGAGAGAGAGAGAGAGAGAGAGAGAGAGAGAGAGAGAGAGAGAGAGAGAGAGAGAGAGAGAGAGAGAGAGAGAGAGAGAGAGAGAGAGAGAGAGAGAGAGAGAGAGAGAGAGAGAGAGAGAGAGAGAGAGAGAGAGAGAGAGAGAGAGAGAGAGAGAGAGAGAGAGAGAGAGAGAGAGAGAGAGAGAGAGAGAGAGAGAGAGAGAGAGAGAGAGAGAGAGAGAGAGAGAGAGAGAGAGAGAGAGAGAGAGAGAGAGAGAGAGAGAGAGAGAGAGAGAGAGAGAGAGAGAGAGAGAGAGAGAGAGAGAGAGAGAGAGAGAGAGAGAGAGAGAGAGAGAGAGAGAGAGAGAGAGAGAGAGAGAGAGAGAGAGAGAGAGAGAGAGAGAGAGAGAGAGAGAGAGAGAGAGAGAGAGAGAGAGAGAGAGAGAGAGAGAGAGAGAGAGAGAGAGAGAGAGAGAGAGAGAGAGAGAGAGAGAGAGAGAGAGAGAGAGAGAGAGAGAGAGAGAGAGAGAGAGAGAGAGAGAGAGAGAGAGAGAGAGAGAGAGAGAGAGAGAGAGAGAGAGAGAGAGAGAGAGAGAGAGAGAGAGAGAGAGAGAGAGAGAGAGAGAGAGAGAGAGAGAGAGAGAGAGAGAGAGAGAGAGAGAGAGAGAGAGAGAGAGAGAGAGAGAGAGAGAGAGAGAGAGAGAGAGAGAGAGAGAGAGAGAGAGAGAGAGAGAGAGAGAGAGAGAGAGAGAGAGAGAGAGAGAGAGAGAGAGAGAGAGAGAGAGAGAGAGAGAGAGAGAGAGAGAGAGAGAGAGAGAGAGAGAGAGAGAGAGAGAGAGAGAGAGAGAGAGAGAGAGAGAGAGAGAGAGAGAGAGAGAGAGAGAGAGAGAGAGAGAGAGAGAGAGAGAGAGAGAGAGAGAGAGAGAGAGAGAGAGAGAGAGAGAGAGAGAGAGAGAGAGAGAGAGAGAGAGAGAGAGAGAGAGAGAGAGAGAGAGAGAGAGAGAGAGAGAGAGAGAGAGAGAGAGAGAGAGAGAGAGAGAGAGAGAGAGAGAGAGAGAGAGAGAGAGAGAGAGAGAGAGAGAGAGAGAGAGAGAGAGAGAGAGAGAGAGAGAGAGAGAGAGAGAGAGAGAGAGAGAGAGAGAGAGAGAGAGAGAGAGAGAGAGAGAGAGAGAGAGAGAGAGAGAGAGAGAGAGAGAGAGAGAGAGAGAGAGAGAGAGAGAGAGAGAGAGAGAGAGAGAGAGAGAGAGAGAGAGAGAGAGAGAGAGAGAGAGAGAGAGAGAGAGAGAGAGAGAGAGAGAGAGAGAGAGAGAGAGAGAGAGAGAGAGAGAGAGAGAGAGAGAGAGAGAGAGAGAGAGAGAGAGAGAGAGAGAGAGAGAGAGAGAGAGAGAGAGAGAGAGAGAGAGAGAGAGAGAGAGAGAGAGAGAGAGAGAGAGAGAGAGAGAGAGAGAGAGAGAGAGAGAGAGAGAGAGAGAGAGAGAGAGAGAGAGAGAGAGAGAGAGAGAGAGAGAGAGAGAGAGAGAGAGAGAGAGAGAGAGAGAGAGAGAGAGAGAGAGAGAGAGAGAGAGAGAGAGAGAGAGAGAGAGAGAGAGAGAGAGAGAGAGAGAGAGAGAGAGAGAGAGAGAGAGAGAGAGAGAGAGAGAGAGAGAGAGAGAGAGAGAGAGAGAGAGAGAGAGAGAGAGAGAGAGAGAGAGAGAGAGAGAGAGAGAGAGAGAGAGAGAGAGAGAGAGAGAGAGAGAGAGAGAGAGAGAGAGAGAGAGAGAGAGAGAGAGAGAGAGAGAGAGAGAGAGAGAGAGAGAGAGAGAGAGAGAGAGAGAGAGAGAGAGAGAGAGAGAGAGAGAGAGAGAGAGAGAGAGAGAGAGAGAGAGAGAGAGAGAGAGAGAGAGAGAGAGAGAGAGAGAGAGAGAGAGAGAGAGAGAGAGAGAGAGAGAGAGAGAGAGAGAGAGAGAGAGAGAGAGAGAGAGAGAGAGAGAGAGAGAGAGAGAGAGAGAGAGAGAGAGAGAGAGAGAGAGAGAGAGAGAGAGAGAGAGAGAGAGAGAGAGAGAGAGAGAGAGAGAGAGAGAGAGAGAGAGAGAGAGAGAGAGAGAGAGAGAGAGAGAGAGAGAGAGAGAGAGAGAGAGAGAGAGAGAGAGAGAGAGAGAGAGAGAGAGAGAGAGAGAGAGAGAGAGAGAGAGAGAGAGAGAGAGAGAGAGAGAGAGAGAGAGAGAGAGAGAGAGAGAGAGAGAGAGAGAGAGAGAGAGAGAGAGAGAGAGAGAGAGAGAGAGAGAGAGAGAGAGAGAGAGAGAGAGAGAGAGAGAGAGAGAGAGAGAGAGAGAGAGAGAGAGAGAGAGAGAGAGAGAGAGAGAGAGAGAGAGAGAGAGAGAGAGAGAGAGAGAGAGAGAGAGAGAGAGAGAGAGAGAGAGAGAGAGAGAGAGAGAGAGAGAGAGAGAGAGAGAGAGAGAGAGAGAGAGAGAGAGAGAGAGAGAGAGAGAGAGAGAGAGAGAGAGAGAGAGAGAGAGAGAGAGAGAGAGAGAGAGAGAGAGAGAGAGAGAGAGAGAGAGAGAGAGAGAGAGAGAGAGAGAGAGAGAGAGAGAGAGAGAGAGAGAGAGAGAGAGAGAGAGAGAGAGAGAGAGAGAGAGAGAGAGAGAGAGAGAGAGAGAGAGAGAGAGAGAGAGAGAGAGAGAGAGAGAGAGAGAGAGAGAGAGAGAGAGAGAGAGAGAGAGAGAGAGAGAGAGAGAGAGAGAGAGAGAGAGAGAGAGAGAGAGAGAGAGAGAGAGAGAGAGAGAGAGAGAGAGAGAGAGAGAGAGAGAGAGAGAGAGAGAGAGAGAGAGAGAGAGAGAGAGAGAGAGAGAGAGAGAGAGAGAGAGAGAGAGAGAGAGTGTGTGTGTGTGTGAGCAACCGCACCTGTGTCAGTGGACGCGCTCCAGTCTCTTACTCCAGTTATTCCAGTGTTTAGTGGACATGCCACTGTCTGTTCCCACTGGATCTCTCACAACATTTGTCAAAGACCCACCATCTACTTCCTCCGTTTCCCTAGATACACGTCAGCAGGGCGTCACATCCTACGCGCCTGCGTGCATGGCGTCATACGCACAACCGTAATGAACGTAATAATAATGCAAATGTAAATGTAAATATTTAAATGTAAAAGAAATGGACCTAGTTATAAAAAATAAACGAAATGAAATATCCAAGATATATAACATAAATAGCTAAATAAATTGCGATTTGTTCAGAAATAATCTTTTATATAAATATTGATTCAAAATATAAATTTAGACCAAAATAGCCTATTTAGCTAATAATCAAATTCGTGACTACTCTGCATTAGGTGGCAACCCAAGACATTTTCAAAAGCAGAAAGGTGCCATTTTGAAATGGTTAAATAAACAAATACATTGTAGTTTAAACCAAATGAAATAAATGACTTCTAATTAAATGTAATACTTTAAGTAGATAATAAATATGATTAGAATATAATATCACATTTTTTAAATAAACAAATTAAATAGCTAACATATGACTGGAATTATGTAAATATTTATATTATATTGTTTCTTTTAAAACATTTTACTATTACATTATTTTACATCTTAAAAAGAAATTCAATTAATCATTTATATATTTATTTATTTAAGTATTATGGAAATCATTTCCTTAACCACATGTATTCCTTCACTCATTCTTTCTTTCTTTCTTTATTTTTTCATTCATTAATTCTTTACGTTGTTTCTTTCTGAAGTTACTCCTCAAGCTTTAGCTCAACTGAAACAATCAGCTGAAAAAGTAAAGCACATATTTGTCCAAGTGAGTTTTATTTCCCTGTTCTGGGAAGCCGTGGTGTGACATCCACATTCAAGAAACATTATTTACAACAACCCAGAAGCACAGTGTTAGAGACTAATATATTCACCCCGTTGTTTGCCCTCCTAGGAACCTTTTTGATTTCGTTTCATACTGCAGAATTTAAAAAAATAATAAATAAATAAATAACAGCTTATGATGTGAATTTGAACATAGAATTGGGCAATGCTTGTACTAGAAGTGGAGCAGAAGAGAAAATGACTAAACGAGGTGCTAAAAGGTCAGTTTCTTCACTCTGCTTTTCCCTGAAGCTTTAAAGTCCCAAACGTCCACATGTATAATAATGAGGCACTGGATAATTGTTCTCTGAGGCAGAGCCAATTTAATAATTACCATGCTCACGGTCTCCCTCAGGTCCTCTTTGTGTACTTAGCAACGAGAGCCTGGGAATATATATTAATTACCGTAAACAGCGTTCAGGTGAACAGTATATTAGGCCTATATGAAGTGACTCCTGCGCTTTCGTAACAGCTCAGAGAAGGTTTGCTCGGTGATAATGTGATGTCACATTCATGGTTGAGTTGATGTGATGTTGATGAGCTCTATCTATGTTTTATAAAGGTCAGCTGTCTGACTATTGATTACTTGTTCAATACAGGGTTTCAGTGGAATAATCAATATGACCCTGAGGTGTCGGACAGCCACAATAAAGAAAACATGCCATTTTATGTAACGCTAATATGATAAAAGATAACCCACCCTTCTTAAACATGCCTAGCTAGATATTGGTCCACAGCCGTAAATTTAGCCTTTACAGTGGTAAAGCAACTTCCCTTTATGTGTGTGTGTGTGTGAGAGAGAGTTTGTGTGTGTGTGTGTGTGTGTGTGTGTGTGTGTGTGTGTGTGGGAGATAGAGAGAGATCATTATACATTTACAGACTTAATTGTGTGACTTTGTTACTTCATAACTTCTCACTCCTAGATCTCGAACCTAAAACATGTGCATTTATGCTTTACATTTGAAATCTTTTGCAAATTAATTCTTATTCTCCGCATGCCACGCTTTGTTTATACTGAGAGTGTTGACAGTTTTGTGAAGAATGCATTGAAAAAAAAAATATATATATATATATATATTATTCACATAGTGTTGCATTATTTATCCATAAAAACTCACTATATGTTTTGTAATAAAATGCATATTTTTAGCTGTTGACAGGCTGGCCCGTGTCCTTGCTCCACAAACCGTGCCCACGGAAGGGGGTGTGAAAAGGAGGGGCTGGCAGGGACGCCAATTGACCAATCCTACCATAGAGAAGGTTAAGCTCATGAATATTAATCAGGTCGCGTGATTGGACGCTTCCGAAAATACGTCAGCACACTCGAATGAATATTCATATAGCGAGCCGTCGCCATAGTACGATTGGTCCTTTTCGTTTGCGGCGTTGAGATGTCTGATTCATGTAAGCGAATCGGTTCGCTCGAAATAGAATCGATTCAAACGAGTCATCGCTGAAAAGTGTTCTCAAAAGTCGCGCGCGGCATTTTACTTCCTTTGTTTCCCCCTCGTAGAAGCATAAAGAGTTTGCTGTTTATGAGTACATGCTGTTTGTGATTATATCACACAGATTGAGCTTTCAACATGACAGCCACGTCTTAGTTCTCCGTCACAGCCGAATTGATGAAGGCAAAGTAACATTTTGCTAAATACTGCTATTTAACAATATGTTTATTACGAATTATAAACAGCGTTTGGCGTTACTCAGGCTACATATGTAGGCTAGCCTATCTGTAAGCGTCTCTCAAACACAACTATCTCCATTCAAATCGAATGATTCACGAAAGCTTTAAGAATCGGCTCGTATGAATCATTAATTAGAACCGACTCCAAACAACAATTCCTCGGCGAATCGGACATCACGCTCGTTTTGCATTTTAGAAAGTGAGAGAACGACTGGATCTCTGCGTATATGTAACGTTACACAGACTCAGTGAAAAGTCAGTTTCGGGTCTGGTCTATCAGGACTGGTTATATGGATACGTTACGGATGGAGGCAGCGCTGCATTTCAAGAGGACACGGACAGTCTGAAGAGAGATCCACGTTTTCATCACTGAACCTGTGCGAAGATCTTGATTTGCACCGTTGCACGTCTTGTGGTGATCTCAGTAGTGGAAATGTGAGGATATGTATAACAGAAGGCAGCAGCGGTGTGTTGTGAAATGCATTTCCATATTTCACACGGCACCCGAGCGCAACATGTATCTCCTGCGTGAATCCTGCGCGCACCGATAATGCACAGGAAGGGAAATGCATTTTAACAGATTGTATCAGGCCACCATACGCTCTCCGATCACGATCGCGTCTGTTTTCTCGATTTAAGCTGCCATTCGGGTTTCATTTAGCTTATCACAGCGTGTCATGCTGATCTTTGGCGAAACGTCTCGTTCAATGGTCGCCTCGCTTCCTTCCTGAGTCCTGATGCTCTTCATCCATGCCAGGATTCACCATGGAAACCCACCGTGAGCGCTGGTGGACACCGAGACTGGATCCTCCACTGGACACAGAGAGGCTGATGGATGTGTAAACAGCTCCCATATCCTTTGTCTCACCTTCATGTCAACTTGCTGAGACTGCAGACCTCCTCCGAAAAACAAAGGCGTGTAGCTGGGGGCATTTGTTCGAGAAGCGCCTCCCAAGTGCCAAAGCCTGTCTAGGCGCAGGCGGGGGCCAATGCCACGAACATGCATGCAAGATCTGATTCGGTGTCTAAACATGCCAGGCATGACAATCAGGTGGCCGCTTCGGATCTGATCTCAGGTTTGGACATTGGCGAACACGTTTCCATGCAATGTTTTTCCAGCGTCCGTTGCATTAAAACCCACACGGAGTGTTAGTTTTTATAGCATCTTTTACAATCCAACACCCCAGAATGCCTCGGAACCGGACCTTTTCCGAGCCCGAGTATTCTGTGGAGTATTCGGCGGACTGTTCAGTCACCCTGCCCTCTGACCCCGGGCAGGCGGTGGGACGCGCCCACGAGGTGACCGTGCGCAGCTCTGGCTGCTGCCTGTGTCTGCCGCGGTTCATGCGTCTGACCTTCGCGCCAGACTCTCTGGAGAACCTCTACCAGACCTATTTCCGCCGGCAGCGGCACGAGACCCTGCTGGTGCTGGTGGTGTTCGCGGCCCTCTTCGACTGCTACATCATTGTGATGTGCACTGTGCTCTACACGAGCGATAAGCTGGCGTCTGTGGCCGTGGCGTCGGTGGGGCTGGCGGCGGATGTCCTGCTGTACCTGCTGTGCCGGTTCGGTCTGCTCCCGGACCGTGTGACGCGCCGCCTGGTGCCCTACGCCTTATGGGTGCTCATAGCGGCCCAGATCTTCTGTTACTTAGGACTGAACTTCGCCCGCTTCCATCAGCCCAGCGACACGGTGGGCTGGCAGGCGTTTTTTAGCTTTTCCTTCTTTCTGACGCTGCCGCTGCGGCTGACCCCCATAGTGCTGATCACGGCCGTGTCCTGCGGCGTGCACACGCTCGTCCTGGGCGTCACGATTGCCCAGCAGCAGCAGGAGGACATTCAGGGGGCGGCTTTTGGAAGACAGGTGAGAAAAATGATGGCAGCAGTTTGGAAGGATAAAGATGGGTCTTGAGAGGTTCAAATGATCATAAGGTTCCATGAAGAAATCTCTCTGGAACCTTTCCATTTCACAAAATGTCCAAAAGGACCATTTTTGGTTCCCCAAAGAACCTTCCAGTGCTCAAAAGAACCATGTTTTGCTAAGTGTGAAGAACATTTTCATAATCTAAAGAACATTTTTGTCCTCTACAAAGAACCTTCTGTGGAATGAAACCGTTCTTCGTGGAACCATTGATGCCAATAAAGAACGTTTATTTTTAGAAGTATTGTGGAAAAGGGTTCTTTAGATTCTTCAAATGTTCTTCATGCTTAGAAAAACATGGTTCTTTTAAGAACTGACCACTGAAAGGTTCTTTGGGGAACCAAAAATGGTTCCTTTATAGCATCACTGAGAAAAAAACAAACGAGCACTTTTTGCTAGCTTTAGTTTTAAGGTTGTAAATGATGGGCTCGTAATCATCTCACAGTTCCTCTTGAGGTTTCTGATCAAAGCCCGATTCAACCGGTGTTAAAACCTGAGACCGTGAAAGACTCAATGACAAACAAACACATGCGTTGTAATGTTAAATTTAACATGAACTAAGATTGATAAATGCTTTAGAAGTGTTTTTCATTGTTAGTTTATTGTAGTTCAGTAAT